TTTTCAGAAGTCTTTGATTAATAGAAAGTTCATAATATACAATAATGTCACTTTTGATCAAATGTCTGCATTCTTGTTAAATAAAATCTTAATTTCATGATCTAATTGACGTATTCAGGAAGGATTTTATCCTATGCTACTCAGGACGGTAAAACAATATTGCGTTTTTGTAATTTATCCCCTTTAAAGCTTTTTATTTATTAATTTATTTTAAATTAGACAACCTAAGCAATCAACCATCCTTTAAGTAAAAGTCTTTGATTTTCCTGTAATTAAGTCTTCACCATCACGTCATTTAAAACCAGTGCTGCCAAAAATGTGTTTATTTGTCGCTACAAGACCATCAGAGCATCATGACCCAGATCTTCTCCTTGCCGCAAGGATCCTCTTCATCCCACCTTCAGTAGAGTAGGTCAGCATCTGGCAGCTTCCGGTAAAACATCCAGAGAGCCTCTTCTGCTCAGGTGGAAAGTGGATACATATAACTAGATCTGCTTTGAAACCACACCAGAGAGCAGTTCAGACTAACTTTTATGCATAAATGTCTCAACAGTGTCATTTTCCAGGTTTTTGCAGGTGTAAATAATTTCTGGATATACATCAGGTAATATTTGACAGCAATGAGTGGGAAGAGGAGGAGGCAGAGGAGGAAGAGTTTCGGCTTTAATCAGGAAGAGGCGGGATTGATTTATCGTTCCCCTTAGGGCTGGAGATATGCCTCTTTCACTCCATTGCTTTTCCACCGTCTTCATCCCTCCCCCGTCTTCCTCTCGCTTTCCACCAAACTATTTTTCATTCTGCTCCTCCAAGGTCCCCCTTTTCTCCGTCCCCTCCCTTTCCTCTCCCTGCCGCCTCCTCGCCGCATCTATTCTCTCCATCCTCTCTCCTGGTATAACTAGGTCATTCTGCAACACTGAACCATTGCTCCTGCCAACCATGAGATCCACACAGCTCTGCACACTCGTCTGTCTTACCTTCACTAAAGTCTTCTTTACGTATCTAGTTTATTTGTCCATTTTTTGCACCTCTAGTGCAAGTTTTGGTTTAATTTAAAGCATTAGTGTGTCCACAACCAAGCTTTAGTAGGATGACATTGCATATTTTCTTCTATAAACCTCTGGACTGTTTTGCCCATCTGTGTGGGCCATTATTACTGTGGCCTTCTGAACCGTAAAGGCTAATAAGATCCGGTAATGGACAGTGTCAAAGGTCAGACAGGAAGAGTATTCTGTGAGGAGCAGATGTTACTGGACAATATGAGATATTTGGGGGACAAACAGACAATAGATGTAAAACTAAAAAAGCATGTAAACATTGCGCTTAAAGGGAGGCAGGAAAAACCTTTTGTAAGCTCCTGGGAAGAGGTCTAGTGAAGTGTGAGCAAGAGGCTGTGTGTGTACAATTGCGTGACTGACTGGTTGTCTGGTTGTCAATGAGAGCAGAAATTCAGACCACCTTCCTCCTGGCTTTTGTGGGTTGTTTTTGGTTTGACGTGTCCTCATGTCTGTCTTTTCCATCAGAACTCTCCACATTTGTCACACAAAACTGCACAACTATTATATTCATCATTTCAGATCTGACTATCCTTAAATGCCAGTTTAGAACATTTATAAGATTTTTCTTGCACTACACAGTGTGACTGCTTTATAGTCTTTTTGGTGGTTGCTAAGTGGTTGCTAGGGTGTTGTGAGTGTTTTTGATTGCTATGCGGTTGCTAGGTGTTATGAGGGCTGCTTGGTAGTTGCTAGGGTGTTCTCTGTAGCCTCTAGCCTCTGTACTCTGAAAGTTGTAGAAACCAGATCATTAATTGTGGTTTTAAACTTCTCAGTAGCTTGAGTTGACAGTAGTAGTAGCTTGAGTTAGGATGCAGATATACATTTATGTTTCTAGGTATTAGTATGAAAAAAGTATAGTCTAAATACATTTAGTATAAATGCACAAACGCTATAGCTTAATCACAAAAAATACTGTAATTATATTCCATTACTCCTTTAAAACATTTAATACATGTCTACATTAATAATATAATAACATTTGATATGAATATTCCACATTTCTACCACAATACCACGGTGCGGTTAGTGTTACTACAGTAAATCCATGGTAAATGATGGTGATTTGTAGATTGAACTGTATTGTTGTGCACAGTGTTTCTACTGTTTGTCAGCACTGTTTCATCAAAGCCACTGGAAGGCAAGCCTGCAACCTTTAGCCAAAAAAGCGTAACGGCTAATGCTAATGCTAATGCTAAGGCTAAGGCGGTACGCAGGGAATGAGACCAGAGGCCGTTTTGTTTGAATGGATGTCAGTGGAGGAGAGGCTTCACTACGCTGAATAAACTGCTTTTTTGGGGAAACAGCTTATCATTTAATGAACTGACAGCCTATCGGCTAATCTTCAACATTTTTACACTAAACAGTAGTTTTGGATTTAACTATTTTTAGAGTTTACACCGAGAGAAAAAAAAGTAGATTTATAAGAGAAGTCACTGACTTTTTGCGACAGGTGGGGTACAGCTTACAGCGCTTCTCATTCATTCCTATGGGATCTGTAGACGACAATTGAGTGTCACACAACTCTGACTGAAATTCAATGACGTCAAGGCTATAATGTGATTGGTTATCAAGGCATATGTGATCCAAGTTGACCGTCACTCTTTCTCCAATAGTAAAGGTTACGAGATACCAACTTGTAAAAAGCGTTCACGTCCTCAGAACTCATAATTACAACTTGTGAACTGGGAGTTTTCTGAGAACTACAACTTGTACCACCTGACCACCTCAGATTCATTAGGCGCTATGTTTAGGCATTGATAGTGCGATAGTTCCAAGTCCAAGGCCAAGGGAGTGAGCAGCTTGAACGTCACATGCTGTCATCTCGAAATCACAGTAATTATCACATGGCGTGAATGCAGCATAAGTAATACAGACCCTCTCATCTCCCAATAGTAGACAGTCTCTGGTTTCATCTAGCTTTAAACTAGTTTAAATCACAGAGTCATTTGTGTTCTTCGCTGAATTCAAGCCCTTCACACTGGATCTCACAGTGCTGTTAAGTGGTCGCGTGGCTGAGTGAACGCATCTGCTCTAGTGTGCTCGTGCTGTGCTGCCATTTGAACTTTGAGCTGAGCAGATAAATGGTCCGTGTGGCGCGGTTCAAATGAGTAGCGCTGTTTCCTTCCGCTTTTGGTACATAAACATTATATCAAACATTTATAATATAATTATCATTAGCGTTTTATCGCCCAGCCCTAGTTGCTAGGTGTTCCCCGTGTTTTTCTATACGGTTAGTAGAGTGTTATTAGGAGGTTGCTAGGGTGTGCTTAGTATTTATGAGTGTGTTGCTATGCATGGATTGCTAGAGTAGGTGGTTGATATAATGTTCTAGGTGGTTTATAGGGTACAGTTACTACAGTGTTTTGCGTGGTTGCTAAATGGTTGCTTGCTGGCTGAATATTTTGACCACTAGCAATGGCTTGAGTCCTTCCCTCAGTATAAGGCTACATTCACACTTTCAGGTTTTGGGATCGACAACCGCATTTTCTTACAGTTGTGAGTCTTGAAATGTCCCGTTCACACAGCAACTTACTGTCTGTATGAACGTGCAAAGCTCGTATTCCTTACCAGTAACCATAACATCAGTGATCAAAGTAATATCCAAGACGTCCATAAAACTGAAAAGTCTTACAATTTTTTGACACAACAAGAGTCCAATTGAGCCACGAGTTCATCCGTCAACTCTTCATTAGCCGACAGTACCTTTTATATTTGGGTGTACAGCAGAGCATTTAAGTCACACGTAGAACACAAAACTGACAGGAGCGGCTCCGGTTAGATCCAGTGACTGGATCTAAACCTTCACATGATACACAGCTATATATCTGTTAGTGAAACAACACGTGAAAACCTGCAACAAGCGCTAGACACATGCAGAGCAGCTCTCTTGCATTTTATGATGTGACAGACAGCTAGTTGTCGAGTGCAGTTCCGTTCACACAGCGCAGGTTTTCCAAGAATGCGGTTGTGAGTCCTGACAATGTACAGGTGTGAGATCGTTTATAGAAAGCGGTTGTCATTCCTGTAAATGACCGTACTGTGTGTGAATGTAACCGTATTAAGGACTCAAATACAGGACTGACAACCATATTCTGATGCTGTGTGAATGTGGCATAAATCTGTGGGATTATTCCACCCATTTTATTTGTCTACCAGGCAAAAAACAAAACAAAAAAAGCACACCTCTCCTCAGCAAGCCATATGACATTTCATTCATGTTCATAGCACAAATGGTGTTAGTGTTTGGAGTTAAGTCAAATGTTATAAAGCAAAGTGTTCTGGACATTTTAGAATTGTGCAACTGGGAAATGTAATGGTCACAGACAAGCTGTCCCCAATGTCCTGAGCACGCTCACATCCTCACAGTGTATTGGTGGAGGGTATTTTCTGTATGTTCTCCTACTCAGCATCTTTAACGTCCATAGAGATCAGTCTGTGCTGTGTGCCACAGGAGAACGAGACGTCAGCAGGATTCACTGTACCCATCTATCAGCACTTCATCCATCGCTCTATATTTGTTACGTCTCTCTCGCTCCCTTATTTCCTTCACTTCTTCCCTCAATATTATGTCAAGTTAGGAAAGGCCTTGTTGTGCCTCTGTTTGACAGAGGTCGAGCTCCCATCTCAGAGGTCAAGATTATACAGCTCCTGTCCAGTACTCAATAATCTCATCTGTCTTCAGGGTCACAGATATTGATGGTACATTTAAGTGAAGTGTTAATGTCTCATGTTATAGTAAAGCCTCTCATGTCTGCAGGTAGAGGACAGAAAATTAAAAGAGAGTCAACAAGTTTTGCTTCTGTGTGACCTTCTCTATTAAAAACCTGCGGTATTTAGGTACGAACTAAAATTAGCGCAATAATAATAAATGAATACAGGTGAACCGAACACACGCATATTTGGAAATGATCATAAACCCTGTTTTTTTTTTTTTTGTCTTTACAGGTCTGAGAAGTCTCTGCCATCATCAGTCTTGAAATTGGCCAAATTTCCAACCATTTTGTGTAAGTTTATACTTATTATCTTGATTGCCCTGTAGCTGTCATATTTTTATTTTTATTCTAATTTATTTATGGTCAATTTTACTGTTTAGTGGTCATTAGTCATTTAAAAATATATATTGTAGAATGATCAGTCCTATTATATTTCATTACAAATGTTATTTTATTTTATTTTATTCAGTTTAGTCTGTTACACCATTTAACATTCATTGGTCACTATATAGAAATATTCATTTAACCACTGAATGCTGTGATTGACCAGTTAGAATCAATTCTAGAGAGCCGTATTATAATATATTACTGTATTTATCTACTATGTGTATTCATTTAAATGCTGGATAAATTACTATATATTTTTGGTATCAGACAGCCATCTTATGTCACTGTGAACGATATATGTTATCATATATAAATACTTATTTTAGTGTTCACACTGTCTGTGGGACATTATGGAAAATCTCCCTCATGCCCTCAGGTAAAACGAGTGTAACATTTTTCACATCTATTGAAAATGGAGTGTTAAAACATGCATATGGTGTGTGTGTAAGTGACAGCTGTAGGGGGCATCTAGTCCAGCATCCTCAAAATCTGTCTCAGTGAAGAACAGTGCAGAAGGGGGCCCGAGGAGGAGTGAGTGGGGCGTCTGGGGCAGAGAGGCACAGCTCCACTGAGGGTAATTGGCTGTGATGGGCATGTGAGTATTTATAGAGTGGGAGTATGGGTAATGTGTGTGCGTGTGTTTGGATGAGAAGACTGCCTGAGGCTGTATTACCATCAGCACACTAGGGACATGGAGAGAGAGAGAGACAGAGAGATGAAACCCCAGACTGCTAGACCTTCAACATACAGTGGCACAAAGGACATTTGACCTAACAGTGGCACAGTTTACATGCAGCAACTACCACATATCAATGTAAAAATCAAATCTGGCTGAAAGTGTAAATGCAGCCAGAGTCCATTCTCTTTTTCAGAATACTAGAGGTCTTTGTAAATTTGACTGCAGCCCTGAATTGCATCAAAACTATTTCAAAATGTGTCACTTTTGTCTCTGAATAAGGTCTTCCAGTGGGTGCTGTTGTCATCATGCATTAATAAGCTGTGATAACCGTGACCATTGCCGAGTGAAGGGTCCATCACTATGCCCACTCACCTGCTCTGATGGAGCTCAAGTGGGTTTCAGGACTATTATGTTGTAAATGACTGTTGTAGTTGCACACTGAAGCCCACCTCTGTCCCCTCAGACCAGATCTAACAAGCCATTTGGGTAAAAATATGCCATCTGAAGGTTTCTGTTTTTCTGCATTAAAAATAATCTTGTTTTTTCTGGTTGTTGAAGAAAGGTCTAACTTGAAAGGATACTAACTTGAAACATGGATGCATCTCGACATCCATGCTAATAAGAGCACACAGGCTGTTTAATTATATAGCATTAATGAATCCCAGAATGCAGTTGATGAGATGGTGTTAACATAATTAAATGTAAAGTCTAATTTGAAAATAAATTATTTAACTAAGGGCTGGAGTTAACTAGGGTCTAGCTGTGATTTGAAGATGCTTTTTCTGAAGTGCGTACCAGGGTCAAAAATTAACTTCCCCACACAATGGCAGGGAAATGTGGGTCCATAATATTTCTTGGTGGCCATTTTACTGGATTCTTTTTGCCTTTTTTTGTCTTTTTCTTCCATGTCTATAATAAACGCCACAGACCTTTATATCACTTGCACCTACAAGACCAGTAGTGATTTTGTCCCATGTATGTTTCTTTGGCCTAATGTGTCACCTATGGAAAGCCTGTATTATAGCCTTAGTATTATTTATATACTATTATAGTATTTATTAACATTTTGAATTGTTTTATTTTTATATTTTCAGTTTTAATTTTAGTTTAAGTAATTTTGTTGCATGCTTTTGTCATTTTTATTATTTTTTTATAATTCTATATGACTTTAATCTTTAGCTTTTCATTTAATATTTATATTTTTCAGTTTTATTTAAATTAACGTAAATTATTTCTAATAGTTTTTATTCTAATTAACTATAACAACACTGATTTCTAAGAAAACATGTAAATCATGAAATAAAGTCACTTTATAAAATATAAAGCTGCAACTGCAAGAAATAAATATTAATATATAATGTCACAATTACTTTTTAAAATAAAGGCAAAAATAGACTTCTATTGTCAACACATGGAAAATTGGTAAAGATTTTCTATACTAGACCCTATGTATTTGTTTTAGTCAGACAACCAGTCAATGGTTCTGGTCAATTATTAAGCTATTTTTACTCTTATTTTGTGCTTGTTGTTAAATATGTTTTGAATTCTAGACCCTATGAATGAAATGATGGAAATCTACTCAGCGAGTGACTAACCCATTGCTTGTCTGGCCTTTGGCAACCTTGTACCACCGCCCCTTCCCCCCACTCGTCTAGAATGTGTTCCATGATTCCTGTCTTCACATTGCTGGGGACACAGAATGGGAGATGCTTCTCTGTAATCTCAATATACTACAGCTCACCGAGCACAAAGCACTTCATCAAATGTGTCTAAACCTCAGTTCTCTCCTTTGGAATGAACCGAAAAGCCTCAGTATGATGGGTGAAACTGGCAATGCTGTTGGTTTCCTCTGGTCTTTTTACAGTATTTGGGTTAGATCATTGCTGTACTGACGTTCAACAGACAGTAGAGTTTCTCAGACAGCTGAGCCTGCCAAAGAACTCTTGCCAGAGGAGTTTCAGCCTGGAGGCATGCATGCTATATAAATGTGTGGATGTGCTTGTATGCATATGTATCAGACCTATTATGACAAGTTTTTTACCTTGACACAAAAGTGGTAAACGATTTAGCAGGTTCCTGTAATTGTGCTTATTGGATTCCTGGCAGCCTAAAGAAATTCTGGCTCTTTGAAAGAGTTTGAACAAAAAATAAAAGGATGCCTGGGGTCCCTGGGCTGACAGTGAGCTCTCTGGCAGATTGTCTCTGGCTTAAGCCCATGTTCTCTCCAGGCCTCAGACTGTCTCTTTTTCTAACCACTTGGACTCCGTTATGACCTGATGTTCAGGTTGAAGGGCATTTTCGAGACGTATTTGAGTTTGCTGCATCTCTCTTGTTTTTTATATTCTCTCCTTCTTTGTCTCTTTATATTCACATACCGTAAGTGTTGAATAACCATTTAAAAGTAGCGATGCTACTAACTTAACTGCATTTTTAAATAGCGCTCAAGTAGTTCAGCAGTTACTTGCTAAATGGCTTTTTTTATATAGCAAGCATAGTTTTTTGATTGTAACAACTTCATTAATATATTTAGTGCTATGCTTTTTCACCTCAGTTATATCTATTATTGGGTTTTAGCTTTATTGGTGGTGTTTAGTGTAAATGTATCTGGATCAAGTTGGTCACGCAAATTCGGCATATTAACCAACTGCTTCATGCATAGCTACACTATTGACAATGGATCTTTTTTGAAAGGATCTTTTTCTCATCTGGACCCATTCAGTTGTGAATTACATGAATCGCGTGAATTATAACCTATACCAAAACTGTTATTAGTTTAACGTTTTTATTGGAAAACAGTTGTCAAATATGAAATGTTTTCCTACATCTTACCTTGTACTCTTTTACAGTTAAAACTGAAGCGCTGTGCTGTAATTCATGTTTGGCTTCTGTGAACAGTAAAGCCCATCTTCTTTGATTTGATTGGCTGTCCCAGTCATTTGACATTGACGAGTAAAGCCACACCTATTTGTCCAGCATGTTTCATGTTACAATCAGTTTTATCCCTTCTTGACTGAATGACATGAGGAGGTGGCATGTGTCATCTTCCCTTGGGGACGATGAGGTACTTTTGAACCCATGCAGCAGATATTGATAATGATCACATCAGTGTGATGAAAGAATTTTGCACTTGATCCAACTCTCATTTTTCCATCTGTTTAGTACATTTCACACTTTCAACTGACAGAGAACACAGAGTTTGTAATATCTGATTAATTGAACAACAAACCACAAGAGCAGAATGCTGGAAAAATCATCATTCCACATTCATTGTGTTCAGTAGAGCGGATAGAGAAAGGCTCCAACCACTGATTCTGAAATTGCAATTTTTCCATGTAATAAAGGGTCCTGCTACCCAGACCACCTGAGGCATGTGAATTACAGGGCCACGGCTGCTCATTTACATAATCGCTCCAAGATCAACTATTCCGACTAGATGCTATCTGCAGGGAAGAGTTTGTCACTGACCTCCAGAGTGTATGTGCCGTTATTCAAGGCAACGAGAGAGACTGCATAGGAAAGTGTGGAGAGACTGTCAGTTTTATGAAGGCAGGATTTGACAGATGTACCAGTGCAAAGACACGGAGCTGCCAGAGCATACAGCTAAAGCCAGAGGAGTTAACGTCTGCTATAAGACCTCAGTGGTTTGTATAGCAGCCCTGTCCTCCAGCCTTGAGTTCAGTGCCCCTGTCAAAGGAACAGATTGAACAGCAAGAGTCATTTTCTTCCTGGTTTGGAGGTTTGTATGGTGTTGTGTAGGCGTGGTGATGTGCTGATGCCACGTTCATCTGTAAAAGGGCCATAGGCTCCAGGGAACACTGGTGTCAACTGCAAATGTAGGCCAGCTTAAAACCTCCACGCATGCACAGCCCACGCCTGCAGTACTTGTGAACACAGCAGGCACATGTCCAAATGTGAATAAATAGGACTCTATAAGGAGTCCATTTTGGAAGGCCAGTGGCACCACCTAAATGTCACAGTAATGTCGAGTACGTTCCTTAATAAGCATTTTTTCTCTTCACAGGTCATACAGCGCAACTAAAAGCGTGCAATTAAATCAGTAGGGAGCTGGGACGGGAGGGGTCAGCCAATTGGAGGAGAGAGATGTGGACGCAGGAGCGGTGGGCGGCACTAGCAGTGTTGTCAATAATCTTGCTGCTGTCAAAGGTGGTGGCTCCAATTGAAGTCCCACTGGACCGTAAGTCATCAATGAAATCATAAATTGTAATAGAATTAAAATATCAAAAGTACATTTATATATATATATATATATATATATATATATACACTTGTACTTAATATG